AAAAAAAAAAAAAAAAATGAACGAGTTTAATAGAATATTGTAAAATAAAGTGTTTTATTTTGTTGTGTATATATGTGAATAGCTGTATAAATTTTTCTTATGAAAATTAACCCTAATCTAAATCGAAATTTTAAATTTTTGTTTCTGCAGTGTATGCAACTGCTTTTCGACAAGTGTTCATTTGGAGGCGAAAGGGAACGACAATCATCCTCAAACTTGACCAGAAGAGTTCCTGACTCTGTAAGCCAAAATCGTACAAAAAATTCAATCTGGACAGAACTTTATTTTACTCTTATTTTAATAACAGCCCTCTGCTTGTGGATGTCTCAAAAGTTCCATCCTGCTCTCTTTAGTGGCATTGGTCTTATTTTTTGGATCATTGCTTTATTTGTGGTAAGCATTGAAAAAATCTACTGAATTGTTGAATGTTAATTGAAAATTGTATTGCCTTCTATACTTTTCAATGTGCCAGAAAAATTGGCAAAGTCTTCATTTTTTTAAAGAAATTTCAGTGGTTTCTTAATTGCTTACGTGCATATGCATTAGTTTTATATAGAATCCCTGAATTAGAGAGGTCGACTTATCACCCATTTCGGAGCAAAAGCTTTTCCTTTAATAATGAAGAGCTACAAGATTTGGCAACTTATCGCCACAAACAACGTTAACCTCAATTATAAGATAATCAGTAAAGAAAAGCGTGCATCGATTAATATTGTTTTTCGGAAGCATTTTTTTATGCTTATACAAATTTATTCTAAATTTTATTACCGGTTAAAAGTCTTAAATAAAAAAAATGTGTATGTGCTACATGCCAATTGCATCAATCTTTTCTATAAATGATTTCAAAGTAAATTTGGAATTAAATTTTAAATTTCTGTTAGATCTGGGTTTTTCCAAATTTTTTTTTTTCCAGATTTAAAAAAAACAAAACATATTTTTGTCTGAAATATTTTTAAGCATGTTTTTACAATCGAAATAATTAAATTTATTATGCAATATACTAAATGTAAATGTCTACAATCATGAGAAATAATAAATTTTGCTTCAAAATCAAGAATTAATTTGAAATTGAGACATTAAATTTTCTTTAAAACATAAAAGGACAAAACAAATTAAGATTTTTAGCCATTATTATTATATAAATAGAATTAATATTATAAATAGTAACTAGAGTTTTATGGGGAGGGAAAGAAAGCGACGCATGATAAGTTTTTAAATAATTTATTTGAATAAACATCTTATTTCAGATCACATTTTCATAATATTTATTCAAGTTAATGATACATAAATAAGGAATACAATTTTAAAAAAATATATCTATATTTTACAATATTTATTACTAGACAGAAATAGCTTTTTTTTACACATTTTTGGTTTTTTAATAATAAAAAAATTTAAAAACTAAGCAAATGGAGAGGAATCAGTAAATTTATACTTGGATTAGATTTAAGCGTATCTAAAATTGATCCAGGTTTTGAACAGCCTATTCCTTTCAGTCTTTTTTCAGGAATTGGGACCACTGAAAATTGTTGGAATAGCATCAGGTCTTAATTTATTGTTTCAATTTATTTCTAATTGAGATTCTTCAAAATGATCCTGCAAAAATATTTAGAACACTTTTTTTTATTTTCAAACTTAAATTAAATCACATTAAAAAATTTAGTGTTTGCAATTTTTGAACATGCTTACGCAAAATTTTCTAACACAGAAACTAATTATTTCAGCAATTTGACACAAAAATTTCAAAGAAAAAATAACACTGATAGATCCAGAAATAAATTAAAGATCGCAAATTAAATAGATTTTTTATGATAAATGTAAACAAATCGTTTGAACTTTAGGCGATATATTACCATAAATAACTAAACAAATAACTTAAATGAGCCATTATTAAGAAAAGAACTACTTGATCTTTGTGAAATAAAAAGTAATACAATAAAAAGCAGGTAAATATTTGATTTTAACAAAAAGAAATGCTTGAAACTTGAACAGAACTTGGCGATCAATTAATAAATTTGTCGAATACTGTTTCAGCCAATCTCTTGCCTTTATTTATAGATTTTATTGCACATAAACACTTAAAATTGTTAATAAAATCAATAAATGTTGTTTAAAAGTCATATTTTTAATAAATATATACTTAATAAATGCAATTTTCAATGTAAATTCCTATATTTATACATGATATATGATACATAGTTAAAACTGCACAATTCAAGTAACACTGAAAGTTATTTACTTATTTTTTTTAAAAAAAAATGGACGAAAACAAGCATTCAAAAACAAATTCTATCAACTTAATATCGTTTATATGCTAAATATACAAGTAAATAAGTCTAATAAATTATAAATAAATAAGTATTTACCTCACATAAGCGAGCTCCACTTCCAGGTTGCCAGGAACTTGTCTGTTCCAACATGGCGGATAGTATAGCTCCATAGTATAGTTCATATATATATAGTATAGTATATAGATACTATATATAGTATATATATAGGGCGGATAGTATAGTTCATCTCTCATAGTATAGGAGCCTTAGTTTTATTAAGTAAGATAGATTATTGTTGTATGGTATGAAAACATACATGAAATATAACTTTAAAAATTAATTTATTTATTACGTTTCCTTAAATAATAAAACTTAAATACATAGTTTTTTAAAAAATTTTGAAAAACATTTTTTTAATACAAATTAAAATGATTTTTTCTTTCAGTATTTGCATTTATGCTGGAATGATAGAAAAAAGAAGACTTCTAGTGCTGACAAAATAAAGAATGAAAATTTTGAAACTTACCGGAAAGCTCGTGCAGGAAAACGGATAAAAGTTACATTATATCTTTTTGGGGCTGAAACTTTAGTGGGTTTTATTTTATTAATTACCATCAACACGGAAGAGCCTAGGAACGAACTTTTAAACTGTTTTCTTGCTCTTTGTCAATGGATCTCTGTAATAATTATGGTAAGCATTGTTAGCAAAAAATCAGTAAACATGTTACAGGTTAATTGAAAATTGAATTGATTCGTCGATTTTGTGATTTTGTAATGTGCCTTGAAAATGGGGACAGTATTTTCAGATTTGTCTGATACATTTCAGGCTCATTGCAATCAACTAATCAGAAAATGAAAAAAGAATTACTCAGGCTATATTTGTTTTAGTTTAATGCAAACTGCCTGATCCATCAATTGAATAAATCAGGTTAATAAAACATTTAGTGATGAATTTTCTGATTAGCTCAATTGTGTAGGGATCACTTTAACGTTGAAAAGAAAATGCTTGTGACCATTGCAATTATCCTGGCATGTTGCAAAATTGAGATTGCAGTTGGAAAAGAGCCAGATAATTCAATCAGATGCTATACTTTTAACACGTTGAGCGCCGGGTCAGCCATCGGTGGCTGACACTGGACTTCCTATTTAGGCCGCGTCGACCACTGGTAGCTGACACTGAAATTACATTTAGGCCGCGTCAATCACCGGTGGCTGACACTTAAATTACATTTAGGCCACGTCAACCACCGGTGACTGACACTGAAATTACGTTTAGGCTTCGTCAACCACCGGTGGCTGACACTGAAATTTTATTTAGGCTGCGTCTGCCACCCCTTCCTGACCCTGACCTTTTACATAGGCAGCGAAAAATAACTGGGTGACAGCGTATAACATGATATAGAACTATAAAATTTACACTCTTTTACGGAATTGCAGACAATTTAATCAAAATTTACTTAATTATTGTGATTCTTGGTTTAATAAATTCAATTTAGTAGATTTTTATCCACCACTATGTATAAACAATTCGTAGGCATATATAATTCACCACTTTTTTCACATTTGTCATGCTAAACCTTTTATATACTAGCAAAATCTGTCTATATTTGCAAATTTAGTTCGTAGTTATTTACCGTGTGACCTGACGAGCAAGCCATGTAAAATTAGAGTGGCATTCAACGTGTTAAGGACCTTTATGTTTGTTAATATTATTATAAATTTTATTATCATTTTATTTTTAAATTTTCTCATTTTGACATTGTGTGCCAGACACTGATTAATTTTACTTTTGTGGATAACCTACTGGGAATTTTTATGATTGACAAAAAATTGTTATAAATGATAGACAATGGGTGAAAAATTGTGCTTGATCTAATTTTTTAATTAATTATTTACTTTTTCAATTAGATCTGTTTTGATATCAAATCAGTGTTTTTGCTTGATCATCGCAGTTCAGCTTTTGTATTTAGTCTTTGCGTTACCTTCACGGGAAGTTAACAAAGCCTTTTTTTTTAGCTACTACTCTCTATTTTAAAGAAATTGGTTTATATTTCGTCACATTTTATTTTCTTAGTTTATAGTTCCTTAAATCAGCTCATTTGTTAGATTACAGTTTCAAAGACAATAGTTTTTAGTCTAAGGCGCTGAAAGTTTACTAGACTGAAGGATCTATAATTAAGAAAAATTGTTTTGTGAAAATTAACCTGATAAAATAATATTTCAAGAAAAAATTTAAAAAGTTTTCTATCATTATTTATTTAATAAATTTTTTTTCTTATGGAAATATAGAAAAAAAAATTTTTTTTTAATTTTTTGTTAAAAAAATTTAATTGTGTTAAGAAAAAAATATGAATTAAGGATTTAATTCACCATAAAAAATAATTATCCTGTTTTGAGTTCCAAAAATAGAATTTTTTTTACGTTTTTAAAAAAAAGATTTTAGTTGAAGAAAAATACTGTTCTAGAATTGTATACTACAAATGTAATGCGAAAACAAGAAAAACAAAATGCGGAAGCAAGATTCACAAAACAACTTTTCTTAATAATGGATAATTCAGTATATTAAACTTTCAGAGCCTAAGACTTAAAAATAATTTCTTCGAAACTGCAATCAACAAATGAACTGATTTAATGAAATATGAACTAAGAAGATAGTATTTGACGAAACATAAACTAATTTCTTCAAAATAGAACGTAATAGGTAGAAAAGTTTTATTAACCTCCATTGTAGATCACGTAATGGCTAAATACCGAAACTGAACTGCGATGATGAATAAACACCAAGCAAAAACACTGATTTGATATCAAAGCAAATCTGAAAATAAAGACTTCTTCTCCTAAAGAAACGTAGTGAATGGAATCCCACTTTCGAGAAAAATTCCTTGGTGACACTAAAATAAATTAGAACTTATTAGGTTATGCAACGTTAAACATTGAATAAAATGCCTCGAATTGATAAGAAGAATACTTACTTCGTCAGCTTTTCGTTTCAATCCTGCCATTTTCAAACTTATAAAAGGCACACAGGAAAAATCAAAGTTGCTTCTGATGATTGCTGGGAATGCCCTTTATAAGTTTGAAAATGGTAGACTGGAAAAATCAAAGTTGCTTCTGATGATAGCTAGGAATGCCTTTTATAAGTTTGAAAATGGTAGACTGGAAAAATCAAAGTTGCTTCTGATGATTGCTGGGAATGCCTTTTATAAGTTTGAAAATGGTAGACTGGAAAAATCAAAGTTGCTTCTGATGATTGCTGGGAATGAGTTGTATCTCGGCATTTGGCGCGAACTGCCAATGGTCATGATATAGGTAGTCATACAATTAGAACAGGTAATAAATTGAATAGAGAAAATAGAAGAAAATCTCCTTTGTCAAGAAAGGAATTACATAAAATATAGCATATAATGACAAGCACAATAGTTAGTTGTAAAATAATATATATATATATATATATATATATTTATAACATCGCTAATAATAGTAATCATAAAATAATTTGCAAATATATGCAAGAAGATTAATAATACTAAAACGAATATTCATTTATTTACAGGGGTAAGTACAAATTAGGTTTGCCTCTGTAACATGGTGACCCGGCCGTCCCGTGCCAGGTTGCTTTTCATTAAAGATTTTAAGCAGAGCTATGGCTCGCCTGGATCGGACCCTGCGAAAAGGTTGCTCCTTCGCAAGGTCTACCACAGTTCTGGCGTAAATACTGCGTGTGTTGTGTTGTTAAGATGGATACTGTAGGATCACTGTCTGTATTACTTAGAGATCAGGCAATCTGATGTTAGGAAGGCTGTTAGTAGATTGAAGCTAGCATTGTCACTAATAATATTGATGTTGAAAATCTTTTTTGAAATTTGACGTAAGGCAGTCTTTTGCTTCTTTACAGAATTTAGTATTGAGTTTAGTCATGTCGTAAATGATGTCCTCAATCTTTAGGTCTTTTTTCTGATGATTTCAGTGAGATCTTCGATTTTTATACGATAGATTTACTACACAGAATGTATTGCATTAAAAACTTATTCCTGATTGGTTCAAAATACATGATGTCACTGGATATTCTTTCCTGGTTGGTTAGATGATGATCATTACACCTCTAGCGGTATACTTGGAAAATAGAACACCTCTAACGACGAAAAGCAAATTACCGTGATGCAGGATTGATCTTGTTTTATCTTGTTAATCATGAGAAGTCACTAAAAAAAAGTCAGTGGATAACGAGCAATATAAATGTTTTTCCTGGCATATCTTAAGTCAGTGACTTCTACATAGTGGATTTATAAAAAAATTCTATATCTCATTAAAAAAACATAATTAATTAAAAAATATCTAAATTAAATAATTTAATATAAATAATTTTAAAAAAAAATAGCATAAAAAGAATAAAATTTAAAGCAGAAAAATAAACCTTTTCTCCAAAACAGATGAAATTTCAAAATCTGATCACACCTTCTCCTAGTTGATAAATCCTGAGGACTCCTGATAAGATGAGAACACTGAAAAACCTCTCTGTTATAGTTCAGCTTGTAGGATCATCTTGGATCCCAGGCACAGGAGCCCCCTTATTCCCCTCCTGAGACGTAACCCCCTCTGCAGAGGATCAAAATTATAATAGCATTTCTTCGGATCATCCTCAGGGATGTTTCCCATACAGTCACCAGTTGTCTATTGTGTAGCTCTACTGCGACGTAAATAAACTACAACTTATAAGTCATTTAAGTCTATTTACTTTTGCAAGATACATTAGCCAGCTTGTGTGCTGAATTAAGGCTTAGAAACCTTTGTCGAGTAGATGAATTGACAACATAATACAGAGAAATATAGCATGGATTTATCCAGGGTAACAGCGGATGCGAGCCCGTTACCTACATGCTATTCACAGCCTTTTGTGGTTAATACCACTCGATCAAGGAAGCCTGTGTAAATTATAATGTATTTCAAAACCCTTGCCACTAAGAAGGAAAAATTCAACCTTTTCTTTGTGGTTTTGGAACTCTGGAACTGTTTTTACTGTTCCTTTCGGATTGCTTCAACTTAAATTCGAAAAGAATATATTTTAATAAAATAATTATGAAATAAAAAAATTTAGAGTGTTTTATTGAAAATTTCCTTTTTAAAACAAATTAAAATTACTCAATTTTTTTTCAGGTTCTGGGCATGTATGAGCTGTTTGGTCCAACTGGTGATACTATTAACGTAAATCTTGAAACTGGAAGGAAAGTTGGTGAAATAAATTATCAGTCTGTACCGGAGAAGTGCAATTGTAATTCTGATGATATAAATGATCAAAAACCTGAAACTGAACAGGAAACTAGTGAAACAAATGATAAAAATTCTGTATCTCTCCAGGATGAAAGTGTTGCTGATAGAACAAATGACGGAAAGCCTGACCAGAAGGTTACTGATGCTGATGAAACAAATGATCGGAATCCTATACCTGATCAGAATGATCCTGATGCTGGTAATATAAATTATCAAAAACCCGAAAGCGACCAGGAAACTAATGAAGCAAGTGATCAAAATTCTGTATTTGTCCAAAATGAAAATGATGCTGATAGAACAAATGAGGAAAAACTTGACCAGAACGTTTCTGATGCTGGTGAAGCAAATTATCAGAATCCCATACCTAACCAGAATGATCCTGATGCTGGCGAAACGAAAGAAAAAATCTCCGAATCTGTCCAGAAAATTTCGTATGTGGTTGAAACTAATGATCAAGATTCTGTACCTAACCAAAACGACTCGAGTGTTGCTGCAGATAATGACCAGAATACATCCGGATCATATTTTCTAAGCTGGTTTTAGTAGCTTAAAACTTTGAAACTTTAACTTATGACCAGAATGCATCTGGCTCATATTTTCTAAGCTGGTTTTGGTAGCTTAAAACTTTGAAAACTTTATTTTGGAACTTCTACGTAACTAAAATTCGGACTAGTAAAATCCAAGAAATAAGTTGATGGAAATATTACTCCAAAAACAGCGGGGGCTGATCATCTCAAAGAAGCTACTAATGAAGATATATATAAATTCGCGATCTGTTAAAGTGTGCCAAAAAAAGCGGACTCACCTAAATAACTTTTGAACTAATGATCGGATCTTCACGTTCTAGGTTTCAATCTTAATGCTTCGACCTCAAATATGCTAATTAATTTGGTAAAACGATATTTTAAGTTACGAAGACATGAAAAACGTACTTTCTCTGAGTAAACATACCTTTTTTCCGAAGGATTTAAATATCTGAACCCCAAAATATAAAGGGTTGCAGTAACCTAGAAAATAGGGTTCCCATCGTTTGATTAAGAGAGCTCCCCAAAGTTTGAACCCATTAATGTTAGTTTTATTTTTTGAGAATTTCGCCCTATCTCCAGAACTTTTCTCAATGGATTGAAACATTTTTGCACACAATTATAAAATTCGTTTATCCGAAGATAAATAAACTTTAGTTAATATTTATTATTTTATTTAATAATAGTCGAAAGAAATTTAAATTATGAAGTGTAAAATTTTTTGCATTATTTTAAAGTAGGTAATTTTTCATGGCAAATTGAAAGATTTGGGCGAAATCGGTCGAATAGTTCTTGAGAAATCAAATTTTGAAAAAGTTGAATCTGTAGCAGAAATTCGATTTCTCAAGAACAATTCTACCGTTTTCGCTTAAATTTTGTATTTCGCGATGTAAAACTACTTAAAATGATGTAGAAAAAAGGAATGTGATGTGATGTAATGAAATTATGCAAAAATATACCATACAATTCAACAATTTTTCAACTATTATTAAATAAAATAATAAAAGAAAAGCAATAAACATTTACTGAAACTAATTTCTTACATGAAATTTTCTATGGATAAACAAATTTTATAATCATGTGCAAAGCGTTTTTCAATTACTTTAAAAGGTTTTCGAGAAGTAGCGAAGTACGCAAAAAATAAAATTAACGTTATGAGGTTCAAACTTAGAATTGCTCTCCTGACCAAGCTTGGGGGAGCATATCTCTTTGCTTGAGGAAACTCCCCATTTTGAGGATCAAAAATCTGAATCCGTTGAAAAAAAAGGCATTTTTATTCTGAGAAAATTCCTTTTTTTGTCTGATTTCATAACTTAAAATATCGTCTGCACTAATTAATTTTCACATTTGATGTCACCCCTCCCGAACTATTAAGATTGAGTCCTAGAACGAGACGATCCGATCAATAAATCAAAAATTACTCTGAAAAGTCCGTTTTTTTTTCAGCACTGCACGAAGAATTTTCACTGCACAAACGAATTCAAAAATTTCAACTATGCATTTTGTACTTCAATAAAAAAAAAATTAAATCATATGTATGCGTTTCTTTTCGCAATTTAAATTTGATTTGATTAATTATCAAATAAATTACAGCTATGTTTTTCTTCATTGTTTATACTTTTATAAAGTAACTAAATGGTTAAAAAGGACTAGTTATGCTACATTAATTCTTTTAGGATTTTATTCTATTTTAAAATCGGAGTTGAACAGCCGGCCTAATTTTGTTTTAAGAACTATCGATGCTCAATCCCGGCATCTTTGAAACTCCAACCCAAAAGACAATGGAACTGCAGTCTACTTTGGAATAAACTTGCCTTCGTGAAGGTAGATCATTTTTGATGGAACTAATCAGCATTTCAAAAAGCAAGAAAACCTCCAACGGTTATTGCAATGGCAAAGAGATAGTAGAATTCTTATAAGATTTTAAAAAAAATGATCATTGCAGTTCAACTTTACTTAGAGGATTCCTGCAATTATGTTAGACTCTTTTGATTTAGTAATTCATGCTTTTCTAATGTATTGAATACATAGAAATAATTTTTCTACAAGAACTTTTTATTGGTTTAAAAATTATAAGTATGCATAGCAGTTAAATTTTGTGAGGCACACAATAACTAACTAGACCACAGCAGAAGAAAAAACAATGAAAAAAACAAGTATATCTTTTATTTATTAAAATATATTTTATCAAAAAGAAAATTTAAAACAATTGTAATATATATTTTGTATTTAGTCTTTGCGTTACCTTCACGGGAAGTTAACAAAGCCTTTTTTTTTAGCTACTACTCTCTATTTTAAAGAAATTGGTTTATNTTCTTAATAAAAATCAGAAATACTGGAAATGGAGAAACAATGCCCCCTAGGTTCGCAAACTCTGAGTTTATACCTACTAATGAGTACGTACGCGTACAAATACGAGAGTACCATGTTGAAACAACCCTTCCTAGAAGACTAAAAGCCTTCGCACGGGTTACAATAAACAAGAAATTCGATCCTTTATATATATATATACTAGAAGGCTCTGCCTTCTGCTCGCTACCTCTCGTCAACCCCCGATAATTGCTATGCAATTACATTTTTGTTCGCTTCGCGAACAAACTTAAAGTCGTTTTCTTGGAGATAGGCTGGCAATTTTTCTGCACCAACATCACGTAGAGAGAATGTGATAGGATTGTAAAATGTCAGAGGTGCTTATTATCAACATTAACTTAGATAAAGCAATTTTGTTTAACAACAACAATATTATAAACTTAACAACATTATAAACTTATATAACAATATTATAAACTTATTGCAAACAATATTATAAACTTATATAAAGCGAGGAAGCAATATCATTTTACACATTACTATAGGGCATTAGCCGGAGATTAATCTCAGTATCCGAAGCACGCGTGGCAGAGCCCAACTCAAATCATTGTTGATCTTATAGGAGGCCGGACGCTCCTTATACGGTGCTTCCTCTCGCCCCCCCTTCCCCAGTAATTTAAATTTTAAACTAAAAGCAATTAAATCCTGATGAAAAAAAACTTTAAAATATGGCAAACAAATTAAAACATGTAATATTAATAAGTTGATGCTAAGTAATATTTCAAAAGCAAATAGCATTGCAAGCAATTGCCCAATTAACTTCAATACTGTTAACTGCCAAAATATTTCAGTTTCAATCAGACGAAAAGCAAATTTAAAAACATATGTAACTGAAATTCCATAAATTAAGTTAAGCAATTTAATTTTTTTGTCATGCTGAATACTAATAAAAAAACAAATATAAAATGAAATAATTATGTTATCAATGATCAATAAACATTTTTTTCGGAATTGTTATTAAAGAATAAGGTGAAAACAATAAAATCTAATTAATTATCATATTTGTGGTCACCCCCTCGAACCATTAAGATTGAGCCCTAGAACGTGAAACTCCGATTATTAGTTCAAAAGTTATCTAGGTTGTTCTTTTTTCCTTCATTTTTTTTTCCTTTGGCGCATTGCACATCTGTACTTTTATGAAATGTTCTGCAAAAGAATTTTGATTGAGATAAAAAATTATTTTAGCATTTGAATACGTTTTTTCTCATATAATAATATCATAAACAGGATATTTCTTTTTTTAAAAAAAATTATACATGGCTTCGTACCTGTCTTTGTGTTAAGTAAGAAATAAAATAGTGAAAAAATTGAAATCACTCGAAAAGAATCTTTGTGAAAGAATTCAGATTTTGTCACTTAAGAGAATTGATACCTGATGGGTTTGGCTTCCTCGAAATGGAATGGAAAGAACAGTTGCTAACGTAAACAAATGCCACGTTTCACTTGCAGGGATCCCATTATTCCTGCTTTCGTAAGCATTTTTTTATGATTTAAAAATTTTAAGAATGCACAGCAGTTGATTTTTGCGAGGTACACAATAATTCAAAGCTTTTATCTAACTAGAAAGTAGCAGAAATAAGACAATGTAAAACCTAAATATATGTTTTATTTACTAAAACGTATGTCATTAAAAAAAATTAAAACTATTGTAAAAGAAGGGCGTAAGAGCTCAGCAATATAAAGCTAGTCAATTACCATGCCTTGCTTCAGACTCATCTAGCCAACTATCACATTTCTGTTTCAGCTGTTGTTTTGCAATAATATCTATAGCACCTTCCAAGTATTACTAGGAGGGAGGTTAAAATTCTGGAGTATAGTCAGATTGACATATGCTGCAACGCTACGATTTTCTTTCCAATAATTTTGAAGCATACCAAGATAGCACATCTGGTTCCAGTCTGGAGAGAGCAATACGTAATTATGCATTGCAATTATAACTCTGGTTCTTGCTGGTCCAATGCATCTATTCCATAACTACAAAAAAGATAGTTTTAGAAAACATATAGTGCAAGTTTATAAAATTGAACTGGAAATGGAGAAACAATGCCCCCTAGGTTCGCAAACTCTGAGTTTATACCTACTAATGAGTACGTACGCGTACAAATACGAGAGTACCATGTTGAAACAACCCTTCCTAGAAGACTAAAAGCCTTCGCACGGGTTACAATAAACAAGAAATTCGATCCTTTACTAGTAATTTTAAGGCATTTCTCTTATTATCATTATTATTACACTGCGCAGTTTATGAGTTATTTCTTGGGTGACCCTCACTGCGTAGTTTATGTATGCCTTCCTTACAAAGGACTTATCTCTTAAATTTGAGAAAGAAATCACAACTTTTGGACTCCTACACTTCCCAGTGGGAAAATATATAATATATATACATATA